AGGGTTTATTGGCTTTGCAGTGAGGCTGTGATTAATCCCCTGCCAAACGCCGCTCATCCTGCTGCCCGCCCGCCTTCCTTCCTTCCTTCCTTCCTTCCGCCCCCCCCCCCCCGCTCTGGCACTTGGCCGCAGCGGCAGCGGCGCCGGGGCGCCCTTGGCACGTGCCGGGGCGCGGAGCCCGCAGGCCGCGCCCGGCGGCCCGGGCTCCTCGGGGCCCTTCCCTGCCGGCGTCCTGGCAGCCCGTGCGGAAGGCGCCGTCCACGGGGCGGCAGCCCCCTCCGGATGGCCCGGGCACGTTCGTGGGCTGCGTGCTCGGGCGCCCGAGCCGCCCGCCTTGGAGAGGCCTCGAGCGTGGCGCTCGCCTGCGTCCCGATCCCGAGACCAGCAGGGGCGCCCCCCCCCCCCGCGCAGCAGTGGCGCCTTGGCGGGATGCCGCGGGAGTCCAGGCGTGCTGCAAGGCCCGAGCCAGTCGGTGCAGAAGGTGCCAAGTCCGCCTTTGCTCACGGAACCGCCCTTTCCACGAGCGCAAGGGCACCGTTCTCATGCTGCGCGCTCTCGTCTGAGTCTCGGGCACCTGGTCCTCACTTGCGTCACATGGGCCCGCCTGGGGAGTGGTCCGTGTGTCCGGCGTGGCCCTGAGTGCGGGTTGGGGTCTTCCCTCCTTCGACCTCTCCTTGCGGAAGCGCCTGGCCGGCCGCTCGGCACTGTGCCGGCAATGGGCATTCCTCGTGTGGCCGACCTGTGCGGGCCACTCCTGCAGGGTGACGGGAGCTGAGGCTCAGGACGGGCAGTGCTTCTGATCCCTGTGGGCGGGACTGGCCACCCCACAGCCGCCTGGCCCACGGCAGTGCTCGTGCGGCACGTGTCTGCCGCTTGCCGACAAGGCAGTGGCGGGCGGTGGGCCCGGGGGCGTGTTTGTGCCGAAGCGTGGCAGCGGCGGTGATGTGCAGGGAAGGAGGGGGTGGCATCGGCACATCCCTGAGTCAGCCGGGTGTGGATCTGCTCGGAAATTCTGCCCTGAGGCCAGTAGTGCCGAAGCGCCTGCACTGTGCCAGAGGCTGCGGTGCCGCCTCCCCGGCTGCTTGGTGGGCCATATGGGGCGGGGGCCGGAGGTGCTTTCGGAACGGCGTTATATTGCATTTGCTTTTTCCTTTTTGCAAGGAACCAAGGAGGCCCTCCAATTCTCTGCTACTCCATTTTCTCCTCACTACAGTGGCAGTCCTGTGTGGAGGGCTAGGGTGAGAGGGGCGACAGGCCCAAAGGCACCCAGAAAGGGGCCCGGGTAGCCCACGTCCCCATGCCCAGCCCAAGGTGGGAGGAGAACCCTTGTGAGGGAAGCCCAGCGGCTTGTGCAGGCTGCCCGTTATGGCGGGCGGAGAACTGAGGGCGACTGAGAACGCCTCTCCCGGCTCCCCGTGCTCCAGGACGCTCCGCTCGCTCGCTCGGGGCAACAAAAATGCAACCATTGTGCTGGGATGGCTGGGGGGGAACAGAAGTTCTTCTGTTCTTGCTTTCCTCCTCTCCTTTGAAAAGAGCGAGCGTGTGTGTGTGCGCGTTTTGCCTGGGCGCATCCTTCCACCGGAAGAGGACTTTGGGAGCTGGCAGGTGGCATTGTGAAGAGGGCTTCTTGGAAGGGGCTGTTGGAGTTTTCCTGCAAAGGGGGAGGGAGTGCCCGTCCCCAAAAGCACCGAGGGGGTGGGTGCTCGGGGAGGGGGCGCTGAGTGCTCAAAATCCGTTTCGACTCCATGGCTGTCGGCCGTGTCCTGAGACACAAGGTGTGTGGGCCGGGGGGAGTGGTGAGATCTCTGTGCATGGCTTTCTTCGGGGTCTGACTGCGCCGCTCCAACCTGCTGTCCGCCGGGCCAGGCTGGGCCGGGCCATCAGGAGTCCAAAGCCTGGCAGCTTGCTCTGGGGGCAGATGGCAGCGGCTGCTCAGGAACGGAGACCAGGGCTGCTGGGGCTCTGCCTTGCCCGCAGTGAGGCTGGTAGTGCAGGCTGCTGGCCCCTTCCTGGAGCCAGCGGCATGTGGAGCACTCAGGGCCGGGCCCCCCACATCTGGAGGGCTCCAGCAGCCTTCGGGAATGGCCTCCTCCAGCCTCACTGCCCAGCAGGTCCGGGCCGCTGGTGGCAGCTGGCCGTGGGCAGCGTGGGGCCTCCAGCAGGGCCCCAGCCGACTCTCCCCAGCCCGTGGCCTCACTTGAACTGCCCAGTGGCTGAAATCCATGGCCGCATGCGCACGCGTCCCACAGGCCTGTGCTGGGGCCGGACCAGAGCCGCCGGCCAGATGCCTGTGGGAGCTGGTCAGCAACGCCCCGGCGCATGTTGCACCGCCGGTGTTAGTCCTGCCATGGAAGGTGGTCCAGGATGCACAGAGCGGAACGGTGGGAAGGCCTCCCGCAGGATGCGCTGATCAAAGCCGTTCCGCCGTGCAAGGGGAGGCCGGTCCTGGCTGCTATTGCTCTGATGCCAGAGGTCAACTTTCGCCCCCTCCTCTCGAATCTATCCCTTATCAATGCCATTGGCTGCTCAGGTAGCTGCGCCATGGGATAGGCAGGGGGGAAAGCCCCCCTTTCCGCAACATTAGCATCATCCCACCCCACCCCCATTTCATCCCATTCAAACAACTCCAGATATTTTCAAAGCCTTTTCTCAAAGGAGACCCATGCTCCAGGCCCCCGAGACCTCGGTTGCCTTCGCTTTGCATTTTTTCCAACAATACAGTATGTGACTTTGAGGGTGAGGCGATCAGAGCTGTGTGCAATATTCCAAGCATGGCTGCTTCAGACACAGATTTGTGGAAAGGCAGTTGCAAAACTGGCTGCTGTGTGTTTGATCCCTTTCCTGAAGCTCCGTAATGTGGACCCTGCTGCCTTCACAGCAGCTGCGTGCTGGTCCGGGGGTCCCTTGCATGGCCCACCCTGACCCCACATTCCCTTTCTTGCCGGTTGGTCACTGCCAGCTCAGGTGCCTATAACTGAATCTGTGACGTTGAGCGTTTTTAATTATTAGCAGATTAGCTGCACTTCCACTACATCCGGTTATTAAGCGCATCAGAGTATCAACCATGATTTAGTTAGTGGCGTGACTCTGAGTTGCAGTCAATTCCTACTTTTCCAGTATCCAACAAGCGGAAATTGCATGCCTGGGCTGTATTCAGCAGCAGCCCCTGCTTCCCTTGTCTAATCAGCTAATTGGGCCGTGGGATCTCTTCTGTGTCTCCCCCCCACCCATGCTTTGCTGCCGGGACCCTCTGTCCTCCAGTGCTGGGTGAGGGGCTGTTTTGGCTCTAGGTATTTTGCTTGGCAGTTCTTGAACACGCCAATAAAAGGACAATGCCTAATCTCAGTTTTGGTCCTGCTGGTGGCGTCTTCTGCCCCCACCCCACCGACGAGTTCTCTCTGGCAGGGCTCGAAGGTCCGGGCATCAAGCTGCATTCTGGACCGGAAGTGTCTAATTTTAGGCACTGAGCGAAGTCTGTTTGGACCACTGGACCTCCTTTCCAGTGCAGCTTGTGTGCACACCGGTGGCCGGCTGGGCCAGGGGCGAGTCGCAGCCAGCTGCCAGCAGGGCCAGTTAGACGGGTGGCAGATCCCCCTTCGTGGCCACCTGGCGTGGTGTGCAGGCGGTGCTCCGGCTCGTCTCTCCACAGGCCATCGCCGCGGCCCGTGCTTTGTTCTCGTCTCCCGATTGCCTTGCTGGGGAAGATGCCGGCCGGAGCTTCAGGTCTGCACAAGCGAATCGCGGACGGAAGGCTGTGGTTGGCCTGGCGGCCCCTGCTTGCCGTGGCGTGAGCGGGCAGCGGGTGCCGGCACCGCCTGGTTCCCAGCAGTCCACAGTGCCATGCTTGCTCCCACCGAAGTTGTGTCAGGTCCCAGCCTTAGACCAGTTTCCCCGTAGACGTGTCCGCAGCGACCTTGCTCTTTCATAGCGCTACTCTATGGTGCACCTAACCAATGGCTTATTGCTCTACCCAGGATTTGTCTGGCAGACGATGGAACAAACCATTGGTTCCTCAGTCCATGGATCGTTTTGCTCCTCCTCCATCCACTTGCTCCCTGTATCCGGAATGTCCTTGCAGCACAGCCACGTTGGCATGTGGCGTGGCGGATGGATTTTTATTTTTTTACTACCCTTTCTCACTGCCTCTGAAGTTTGGGAATATGGCTCGAGGTTCTGGGTTCGTAAATAATGGCAATCAATGATTTAAACAACCCAGAGTTCACAGCCCCACAATAAACTCGGGTTCTTTTTCTGGGTTGTTTGTTACTGTGGCTGGATTTGGATAGAATTTCCATGATTTAACGTTATGTACGAAGCAGGTCAGCAAGGGCTTGTGGTGATAATTCCACACATACTTCTGTTATTCAGGGAATAACTGGGTCTCCCAAAACTGAGTACCCTTCGATCTTACAATCCTTGCTGCCTGCTTATGTCTGTGTATAAATGAAAGGATCTTTGCAGTGTTAAGAGGTTGTGTATGTTTTGCCCCTGGCAGCTATTAATTTCCCAAAAGATGAAGTCACAGAGCTGAACTTCTTGGCTGTGTTATTTAGATTCATAGGGTGGAGGTGGAAGGGGCCAGAAGGCCATCGCGCCCCATCCCCTTCCGGTGAACATTGAATTGAGACCCACCACCTCCCTAGATCGTTGGCTCAGTTGTCCCACTGCTCCAGGAGTGGGGAAATTCTTCCAGGTGTCTGATCGAAATCCGGTTTCTTTGAACTTGAGCTGTTATTCCATGTCTTGCACTCTGGAATGAATGAGAAGGGATCTCGCCCTTCCGCTTTGGGGCAGCCTTGTCTTTACCTGCATGAGATCTTATCTGAGGA